GGGGGGGGGACACCCAAGGAGCAGCTCTTATGGGGGTGGGCAACCTCCATCTTCTGGCCAATGGTCCCACGGGTGACCCCCAGCGTGATGCTCCAACAGGAAACCCCATGGGACGAGCACTGAGCTCCTCGCCCGGTGCAGGGGCTGCTCCACGTGTGTCCCCCCCCCGAAAAAAACCCCTTTTTCCCCAGGGGTTTGACATCCATCGTTTCGGCTGCGTCTCCGAGCACCCAGGTCCCATCCCAGCACCGAGCCCGTCGCATCCCAAAGGGGACGCCGGGGAGTGGGACCTGATTCATCCCCAGGTTCCTCCTCTGGGCAGCGGGGAGCGAGGGGGCTCCAGGAGCCTCCTCCGGGGGGTCGGGGCCGAGCGGAGGCTCCAGGTGCTACAGGTGGTCGAAAGATGGGGTTTTTGGGGTGAAAACCCGGCGGTGGGGCACGGCACAGGCTTAGAGGGACCTACGCTCCTCCTCCGGCTCGCGCTCGGCAAAGCCCTTGGCTTCTCTCTGTGCCGATTCGAAAGAGAGGAGGTTGGTGGGGCAGCCCTTTTTGTTTTTTGGGGACACACACACACATCTTGACCACACCAGGAGCATCCCAGGGTGTTTCACCCTCCAGCATCGCCCGCCGGAGCCACGCGGCGCTGGGTGTCCCCAACATCTCCCTGCCACCCATGCGTGGAGACAAAGCCACCAGGCAACTCCAGATGGTGGCTCCCCAGCCACCAGGAGCATCCCGGGGTGTTTCCAGCATCGCCCGCCGGAGCCACGCGGCGCTGCGTGTCCCCAACATCTCCCTGCCACCCGTGCGTGGAGACAAAGCCACCAGGCAACTCCAGATGGTGGCTCCCCGGGGTGCCACGTGGGCAAGGAGGGGATGGGGCAGGGGGACAGAGGGGTGACACCAACCCCCCCCTGCCTGGCCTGGTTTGGGTCACCAGGGGAAGGTCCTGATAACAATGGGATGGTGGCCACGGTGGGATGGGGACAGGAAGGTGCAAAGGGGCTTGGGGTGGTGACACCGTCACCCGGACAGGGATGGGATGGGATGGGATGGACAGACAGAGGGACAAGGGTAGGATGGCAAGTGGGGGGGACAGGGGGGGACACAGTACCAGGAAGTTTCCTTACGTTTGGGTGGGAGCCCTCGGCAATGGTGGAGAGGGAGAAGTTGTCGTGCAGCTCGGACGGGGTGCGGTATCTGGGGGGGGAAGAGGAGAGCGTGGTGGTGAGACCCCCCCCTGTGCCCCGGCCATGTTTTGGGGTGAACCTGGTGTTGGGGGGCTACACGTCCCCAGTGATGGAGGTCTGGGGGCTAAATGTCCCCAGGAATGGAGATGTGGGGCTAAATGCCCCCAGATGTTGGGGTTTGGGGTCTAAATGCTCCCAAATCTGGGGGGGGGGGGAAGCTAAATGTCCCCACCTATGGGGATCTGGGGGCTAAGGGTCCCCAGGGA